AGACGTAGCGATATCGGAAATGGAAATGACATCTTATCAACCAAGATTTCAGAACATATTTGAGGAAAAGGAAGAAGAACTGATGGAATGGAAGATAGAGTTGTTAGAAGAACTGTGGGGAATTAGAGAAGGAGGGAGGCTGTTTAATGAATATCAGTGGGCTGAGTGTTTTTCCAAAAATACTTTAAACAAATGGCCTTTTTTGCTCCAAACAATATACACAAAAACAGAGGAAGAATTACTTGGTGATTCAAATGCATTGACTTGGATAGTTAGTTGGCAAAGGAAGAAAATAGAGGTTTTGATCCATTAGATGGGATATTATACTATTAATTAGATGTTTGAAGAAGAATAGATAATTGCTAGAAATAGAAGTATTATTATAACTTGAAAGATAAGATTTGTAATTAGAATATTAGATTTTGGTATGAGAAGGGAAACAGGAAAATACTAAGACGTTTGAATAAGGGAAGTTTTTGGTTACCCAGACATAACTTACTTTGGAATTATAAACAATAGAGACATTTTGAACACTGATGGGAAATTAAAATTAAAAAAGAGAGAGAAAACAGGATACTGATTAAACATATGGATATTAAGTGCAAATGCAATTAAGTAATGTTTTGCTTAGAAAAGATATCTTAAACCGACATTACTGATATTATCAGAAATATATAACAAAGATGTTGATACTCAATTATATATTTACTAATAATAAAAATTGTATTTGCCTAGTATAGGAAAACAGGTACTATCGGAAGAAGAAAGGAAACATCTGATGGTGTAATATTGGATCTAGACTGAAGAAGTTAATATAGACCACTGAATTACTAATGGACCCAGACAACACATTGTTTATTAAGTAAAGTTGATTGTAAAATTAGAAAATTAATAAAATATTCATTAAAAAAAATGTCATGAAGAGCAGTCACAAATTTTTATAAATGCTTGGGGGAGGTATAAGAATAATTTGAAAAAAAGAGAGCAGTGACATTACACTAAATATATGTAAAAGCTGCCATATAATTTTTATTGATCTATGCAGATGTGAGATAGCAGATTTAATTGATTTAGGAACAATAAAGCAGGGAAATCTGAACTTTTTAATAATATTATTAATTTATCCTTTTACGAAGGCTTTAGCAAGAATGTAACATAAATACAGGATACAAGCTAGCATTGCAAAATGTGGTGTTTTGTAATTGCATGCCTTCTAATCCACAAGAAATAAACAACTACCATTGGCTGCTAGAACAGCCAATGACCCATTTGGCCTAGAGCTGGTTCACCAAATGTTGCACCCTTAATTTGCAGTCACTCAGATATTTGTGTAAAATATCACCCTGCACTCCAGACCAGTGATGGCGAACCTTTTAGAGACTTAGTGCCCAAACTGCAACTGAAAACCCACTTATACATCGTCGAGTGCCGAGTGGGTGTGGCCCATTGGCTGGCTGTGGCCCACTGGCTGGGCATGGCTGCAGTGGTAAAGGCAGATTGGATGGGACTAAAAAGTTCAATCAATCAATTCCAACTTTGCAAGATCTTTTTTTTTTCCCACGAGAAGTTGAAATTGACTGATTGAACCTTTTTTTTTTTTTTGGTAACGGCGGCGGAGGCCTAAAGCGAAAAGGTTTTATAAAACCCAGCTGAAGGCTTAGGACTGGGGCGACGGCGCACGTGCCCACAGAGAGGGCTCTGAGTGTCGCCTCTGGTTTGCCACCACTGCTCTAGACTGAAATGCACTGTCACACACTAATCCAGAAATCCAATAATTTGGCAGCAGCCAAGCAGAAAGCAAAAATGTTAAGGTAATTCCATACAAACTTTGCTAAAGACATGGATTTACCCTAGAAGGCAAGGGAGGGCTTTGATAAACAGATATGAGACAATTAAAGGCAAAATGCAGAAGTCACAGAGATAGGAAGAGATAGGAGGAACTGATAGCAGATAAACTCATCCGGAGGAAGCAAAAGATTACAGAAGACTTAAGAGCTTTGAAACCCCTGAAATCAACCAAGGCTTCAAACTGAATAGTAACAAATATCAGTTTCTTTTTTTTTCCAGTTTTTTTTCCTTTTAAAGTTTTATTAGTTTATAATATACGAAATACCAGTTTCCTAGGGAACATAGCGTAGTTTAAAATGACCACTAATTTGAATTTTTAGGAGTAGTGTAAACTGTCCTGCCTAATACTTGTGTTGAACACTCATTTTAGATGTAGAGCAGTGTTTCTCAACTTTGACAATTGCTGGCTGTGGAATTCTGGGAGTTGAAGTCCACATGCCTTAAAATTGTCAAGGTTGAGAAACACTGGTGTAGAGGTATATGCCTTTCAGAGTTTGAGTTTGGAATTGGGGAGTTCTGAGATCTAGTTGTGACAAAAAATATGATAGCAGCTTAAAGGAAAGGAAAACTTAAAATCTTTCAAAACTGAACAAAGAGTACAACTAGTTCTAGGAAAGGCTGTAGTGAACAGGCAGTCAGAATCAGTTACCATTAGCAAAATGATGGGGGGGGGGAGGGAAAGCAGTCTTAAAATTCTTCCAAGGTAAGTGATTAATAGATGTCTCAGCTGATAGCTCCTCTAGTAATCTCAGTCTGAGGGGTATCTTTATAAATGGAGGTGGAGAGAAAAAGGCAAACTCATAAAATGAGTAAGGGAAGGTTGCTTTGGCATAGACTAGAACAGTGATGGCGAACCTTTTAGAGACCGAGTGCCCAAATTGCAACCCAAAACCCACTTATGCATCGTCCGGTGCTAGGTGGGTATGGCCCATTGGCTGATGTGGCCAATTGGGTGGGTGTGGCCCATTGGGTGGGTGTGGTAACAGTAGACTGGGTGGGACTAAAAAGTTCAATCAATCAATTCCAACTTTGCGAGATCTTTTTTTTTCTCACGAGAAGTTGAAATTGATTGATTGATTGAACCTTTTTGCATATGGCAGTGGAAGCCTAAAGCGAAAAAGTTTTACAAAACCCAGCTGAAGGCCTAGGACTGGGACCACAGCGTGCATGCCCACAGAGAGGGCTCTAAGTGCCGCCTCTGGCACCCGTGCCATACTGTAGGTTCGCCACTACTGGACTAGAACTTTTGTGTCTCCAGATACGATTGAATCCTAACTCTTATAGCCTTAGTTTAACTAGCTGGTGAGAAAAGATGCTGGACATTGTAATTAAGCAACTTGTGAAGACCCAAACCCAAATAATATTATAATTCAATACTTTCCAGTTAGTCAAGTTAACTTGGTATAAAACAAGCCCCATAGCTTTTGTGCCTTGGAAACTAATTTCTGTAAGCAGGAAGGTTTTTAACTACAGTAGACTAGACTTGGCTATTTATGTGCAGTTCCCAAAATTTATCTAAGGCATTTTTTTTACCATTTTAAATAGCATTTTAAATGTGAGATAATGTACACTGAAATCTGCTTCCAGAAATTCCCCATTACAGAAAGAAAACTTGATATTATTGGTCCTCATTTCTTTAAACTTCTAAGGATTTCATATTGTTCTTCAATACTCCAACTTTTTGAGGTATTATTCTTATTATTATTTGTGCAACTGGGTTCTTGATTTTCTCACTAATAGGCCCCAGTATGTGACTAATATTTCTAACACCATGTTCTCCTCAGGGCTGTGTCCTGAGTCCACTGTTGTTAACCCTGTTGACCCATGATCGTTCTGCAAGGTTTGCTATCAACCATACTGTGAACTATACAGATGATACAACAGTGGTGTACATGATGATACATTCAGGATGATAATGAGAGCAATTACCAGGAGGAGGTAGAAGATTTGGTGAACTGATGTAATAAAACAGCCTGATTTTAAATGTAGGAAAGAGAAGAGAGATCGTTGTTGATTACAGAAAAGGCAGGGACAGCCAATTGTGCAGGTGATTAGTCATATCAAGTTTTTGGGTGTGCTGCTGACGAACAGGTGAGCTTAGTCCTTCAACAGTGGGACACTGGTGAAACAGGCACAGCAGCACCCACATTTTCTGCCTCGTATGAGAAGAGCACATCTTCCTTCCTTTATCACTTCCTTACCACTTTCTACACAGGGATGATTGAAAGCATCCTGTCGTATTGTATTACTGTGTGGTTTGGAGGTATTACTGTTTCTGACAGGAAGGCTGTGCAGAGAGTGGTGAGAATGGCAGAAAAGATTATTGGAAGTTCACTTCATTCTATCCAGGACATGGCATATAAGTCTGCTTGACCAGGGTCTGCTGTATTGTCAGCGATGCTACACATCCTCTCCATGACCGGTTTTCTTTGTTACCTTCTGGAAGGAGGCTTTGTGGTATCCGAAGCAGAAAAACTAGATTCTGTAATAGTTTTGTGCTATATTGTATAGCATCAACCTTGTAAAGTCTCAAAACTCTTTTTTGTGCTATATATATATATATGTGTGTGTGTGTGTGTGTGTGTGTGTGCATGTGTGTGTGTGTATATATGTATGTATATATATATGTGTGTATATATATGTGTATATATGTATATATGTATGTATATGTATATGTACATTTCTGTTGTTAAGTGAGACATTTGTTAAGTAAGTTTTGCCCCATTTTATAACTTTTCTTGCCACAGTTGTTAAGTGAATCAGTGCACTTGATAAGTTAGTAACCCGGTTGTTAAGTGAATCTGGTTTCCCCACTGACTTTGCTTGTCAGAAGGTGGCAAAAGGGGATCACCTGACCCTGGGACACAGCAAAGGTCATAAATATAAAGCAGTTGCCAAGCATCTGAATTTTGATCACATGATCATGGGGATGCTGCAAAGGACGTAATTATGAAACACAGTCATAAGTCACATTTTTCAGTGACATAACTATGAATGGTCACTAAACGAACTGTTGTAAGTCGAGGACTTTGAGAGCAGGCATCAGAATTTCATTTGTTAACGAGTGCCAGTGTGTTTCACAGAAAAACAGTGACAACAAAGATTATCTTATCAGTATTGAAACAGAAAAATCTCTTGGATCTGAGCCTTACCTTGTACAAGTTGATGGGAATGTCGATCAGGATGAGCAGCAGATCCCCCAGGGCCAGGCTGGCGATGAGAAGGTTAGGGCCGTTCCTCATGCATTTGTTCTTGTAGATGATTCGGAGCAAGGTGGAGTTGCCGATGATGCCCAGCACGAAGACCAGGCAAGCGATCACCGTGTTAACGTATTTGAAAGTATTCTTGATCTCCGTCTGCGTGTGGCACATCGGGTAAACGGGGGAAGGCGTTCGGCCAGCCACGCCAGGCGATCCCGGGTGAGAAGCGTTGGGACTCCCTAACCTTTCCTCCACCTCGGCTGCGATGGGAGCCGCGCTCGTCCACGACAAGGCGACCAGGCTCTGCGCTGTGATCTCCGACAGGCGCGGCGGAGAGTTGCCGAGCTCCAGTGCGCGGGTGCCGCCCACGCAGTACACTGCGGCTGCCGAGATCCAGAAGCCCCACAGGATGCGCCCATCCATGACCGCAGGGCAGTTCCCACAGAAGGAACCGCAGAAGCTGGAGAGGGGGGGGGGGCAGAAAGAAAAGCCACCAGAAGGCTAAGACGCCGCTACTAAGGGACCTCTCGCTTCGGCTGGCAGCGGATTCCCCCCAGCAACCAATCGCAGCCAGCCGGAGCACGTGCGCCCAGCCGGAGCCAGCGAGCCTAGCCGTCTGACCGACCCCCGGCGTTACGCGCTGTCGAAGAAGCCCAGGGAGAGGCGGGCGCCTGGGAAGACGATTCGCTTTGGGCCGAGAATCGTCGCTTCCTGGATAAACACAACTCGGAGCGACTCTGCTTTGAAGAGGCTTTACGCGGGCGAGAAGCCAGTGCTGGGGAAAGAGCGGAGGGGGGGGGACGCGGGGGACGCAGAACTCTGGCTTGATAAAATTGGGAGCTCCGCTTTTCCCACGCCTTCAGGTGGAGGGGAGGGGGGGGGAGCTCTATTGCTACATATTAAACAAGGAACGGGCGGGAAAGCTTCGGTAATCGGCGGAAAACTCTGTCCGGAGTAATTTTTATTAGGGAAACTGGAACCGAGAAGGTCTGTGGGAAAGAATGTATATAATTTGTGTATTTTTATTTTTATGTTTGGCCTTCTTTTATTGACGTCTGTGGATTCCTTAATTACGTAAAAAAAGTGCCCCGCCTCAAAAAAAAAAAAAAAAAAAGGTGAAGGAAGGATGTATAAAGATGCTCCACAACTTTTTAAAAAGAGAAATTTCAAGAAATATAAACGGTTACAATCCACATGCTTACCTGGGATAAAGTACTGCATTGCACATACATTATGAATCAGAATTCAGCCTTAATTGTCTCCAGCGTTTACTGTAACCACCTGGAGTATAAACTTCCAAATCATGGTATTAAACTGTGGATTGCTTTCAATTAATACATTTAAAACACACACACACATTTCCCTCATTTCCGTTAAGCTTACTCCCAAGTAAAAAACATGAAAATGAATAAATAAACTCTAAAGAAGAGAATAAATCAAATAAATGTAAAGGTTAACTTTCAATAAATTAATAAGAGTACATTTTTGTTATTGTTAAGTTGCATATTTGTCTTTGACTTTTCACCTTAAAAGTTGTCTGTGTTGGAACGAGATGGATTTAGCTCCCAGTGGTTGATAATGTCCTTTGTGGCTTGAGATGGGCTGCATTCAGGTGTCCATTGACTGACCATCCTCTACGAAGTTCTGAAGGGACAATACTGATGGGAGCAAGGCTACATGGCTCAATTCTTGCTTAATTTCCAGCAAATCAGGCTAGCTATCTGGAATCCCCCCTCCTTCCAGATGTATACTTATATAATTTCTATCATTCACAAACTCCTCCTCCCTCCCATCTTTAAGAGCCTGGAAATCATCAGGAAGTCATCCTTAGCAGGGCATGCAAAAGGTATCTGGGAAGCAAATCTTTACAAGCTTGAAAAATTATACAAGCAATATGCGAATGTGTGGTATAGCTCAGAGGTCCCCAACCTTTTGGGCACCAGGGATCGGTTGAGTGGAGAGAGGTTTTTCTGCAGACTGGAGGGGGCATGGTTTCGTGTACTGCCTGCATCCCGTGGATGGGGCTTTGCTTGTTTGTGCGGCCCAGTTGCTGGCATGCCAAGGCCCAGTGCTGGTCCACAGACCGGGGGTTGGGGGCCCCTGGTACAGCTGATTGGATATATTGACTGGGAAAGACAAAAGTTGTAGTTAACACATTGCAGGGCTACAGATTACAGGAAAATAAGGAGAATTTTCATCAGTTGACATGGCATGACAGATCTCTGCTAAGCTCCACTAAGTATAGAAGGGTTTTTGCCATTACTTTCTTCCAATACATTTTTAAGTTCCCCGATATAGCTATAGGCTAATAGCCTTCCATCTAAACCAGTTTTGGAGATAATGTTCCAAAACTGAACTGGAACATGGTGATTATTTATAAATGTATAGATCTTATTTATATAGCTGTCCATCTTACAATCAAGCGACTCCGGACAGTGTACAATTGTGGTGTACAACAAGGTTAATATTATATATATAATATATATATTAATATTAATATATTAATATGTAATATTAACCTTAAGAACTTTAAAATTGTAAAAGGAATTAGAACCAGCAGAAAAGGGCTACTGCCTGGGAGCTGCCAAATGAAACTCCTCATCAACAGGATCAGCAGCATACTCTCTCTACTGCAGTGGTTCTCAACCTGTGGGTCGGGACCCCACTTGGGGTCGAACGACCATTTCACGGGGGTCGCCAAACAACACAGTCTGCCATTTTTTTCCCCCCTTTTTCTTAGCTGGGCTACTCCCTTTTATTCTATTGGCTTTCGAAAGCCAGTAGAAATTGTCCAGGCTGTCTCTGCCCTGCTGAGCCCGCCAAAAGTCCCATTCTGCAAACGGTGCTGCACCAGTTGAGTAGTCCTCGACTTACGACAGGTTGAGTAGTCCTCGACTTACGACCGGTTGGAGATCGCGGCATTAAAAAGGTTGAGAACCACTGCTCTACTGGAAAGTCATTTTGGTCTAGTGATTAAGGCACTAGGCTAGAAACTAGGAGTCTTGTGAGTTCTAGTCCCACCTTAGGTACGAAAGTCGACTGAGTGACTTTGGTCTAGTCACACTCTCTCCGCTCAATTCACTTCACAGAATTGTGGGGAAAATAGGAGGAGGGAGGATTTTGTATATTCACTGCCTTGAGTTATTTGTAAAAATAACAAAGAGGGGAATAAAAAAAAATCTAAATATATTAAAAAAATCTGGTGGGTGTGGGGAAAGAAAAGTTACTATTCAGTCCTGATTGTATTGGGGGAAAGCTGAGACACAAATCTCTTGGTTTTAGCTTTGGATAGTTATTCCAGACATTGTTATGGCTACAAGTCTGGAATAGAAAATTGCTTTTTCAACAGTGAAAGAAGGACAATGTTGAAATCTGCCTGTGGTAAGGCATTGTGTTGCTTAACTGCAGTATACCATAAACTGCATAGAAAAGTCTCACCCTACACAGCAGTTCAAGGCTGCAGTTTCAGGAGAAAATCGGTAGGTTTAGCACTTGTAGTTTTGATTCTGAAAAGCTTTCTTCAGAAGCATTTCCTTTGTAAATCAAGGATATGGTAATTGAACCAAAGATGTAAATAACTGCTTGGTATATACGCCATTTACGATAGATTTATAATAACAGATAACATATGAATTATTTTCTGTGTTTCTTATTTTATTTTTTTGCTCTTCTAACTTATGCCAGTGAAACATGGACATTAATCTCACAATCGATACAGCCAAAAGAGCCATGGGAAGATACATGCTTGGCATCACAAGACAAGACAGAAAGACCTGCACATGGATTAGAGAACAAACAAAAGTATACAGTATCATCAAGAGAGTAAAAGAACTGAAATGGAAATGGGCTGGTCACATAGTAAGAAGAACTGATGGCAGGTAGACCAAGGCAGTCATAGAATGGATCCTGCTTGATAAAAAGCATCCATGAAAGAGACCTAAAGCAAGAGGGATCAACGACATCAGCAAGTATTGCCGGCCCCTTTGGCAAAAGAACACTCAGGACCAAATTGGTTGGAAACATACAGAAGAGGCCTTCATCCTGCAGTGGAGAGACAATGGCTACAATGATGATTGAAAGTTGCACCATAAGAAAGGCTGAGCAACAAAGAATTGAGGCTTTGAACTATGGTGCTGGAGAAGACTCCTGCGAGTCCCTTGGACTGCAAGGCATTCAAACCGGTCAGTCCTAGAAGAGATCAACCCTGACTGCTTTTTAGAAGGCCAGATCCTGAAGTTGAAACTCAAATACTTTGGCCATCTAATGAGAAGGAAGGACTCACTGGAGAAGAGCCTGATGCTGGGAAAGATTGAGGGCAATAGAAGAACGGGACGACAGAGAATGAGGTGGCTGGATGGAGTCACTGAAGCAGTAGGTGTGAACTTAAATGGATTCCAGAAGATGGTAGAGGACAGGAAGACCTGGAGGAACGTTGTCCATGGGGTCGCGATGGGTCGGACACGACTTTGCAATTAACAACAACAACAACGATGATGATGATGATGATTCTTTTGCTATGCATGGAATCTCTGTAAGGATCCAAATGAGAACTTAAAGGCATAAAATGTAATAATCTGGGGGGAGGGAAATCCCCTATTATTTATAGAAAAATAGGAAAAATCATGACGTGACTCAGAGGTGACTTGATGACTTCTCAAAGGTCAGAACAGGAAGACCATTTCCTGTTTAGCTAAAATAACTTACAGTAGTTTTAAAATTCCCATTTCAAATACCATTAGGAAGATCTTGTTTTGAAATCTTCAGTACCACAGGATGTATGCGCGAACAAAGAGGTTTCAGTGAGGAATTAAAGTTTCCTGACTTTTTTTCAACTTGCTTATTATAAGTAGCTGGGAAATCTTTAAATTTTTATAAAAACATTATAAACAGTTAAATCCTAAACCAATGAAAGGTGCAACTAATTTGCCAAGGCCAATTTCCCATCTGTTACTTGGCAGGAATTGGTGTGAAGATTCACCAAACTACAGGTCTTAATTATATTCCTCACTACTTAACTCCTGAGGATTATTTTTTGTAATTATGGAAATAAATTACATCAGTAAGACATATCAGTCAAATGCATGGTTTGCTATTATTCAAAGGTTTTCGAGATTTTAGAATAGAAGCACCAAGCTTCTTTTTTTCCTACTCTGCAGTTGTGATTCAATTTATTTTGATATCAGTAATGCTCAGTTCTATCTTATATATGTATTTTCTGCCTTTCTTATTTCCTTCTACTATACCTTCTTCAATGAGCTTTAAATCTCAATATCAAAAGTAGCAAAATTACATCCCTAGCTATTCGTTAATAAAGATCCTTACATCATGTGATCTCTCTCTCTCTCTCTGTGTATGTGTGTGTTTGTGTGTTGTATCATATTACATACACACAATAAATATAATATATATGTGCCAATACTTTACTTTTCCATAAATGTAAATAACACCATTCAGTCTATTTTACTTCTGCAAAATAAAGAGATGAACTAGAGATTTCTGTTTTGTGAGCAAAACTTGATATTGAACATTCACTAGTAAGGAATCCTTGAATAAATAGGTCAGATTTCCCAACCCATACATTCCCAGTGGGTTATAATTTCCATTATTCCCAACCAGGAAGCTAGTTGTAGAGGCTGTAGGGAATGGCCTTGAAGATGAGAAGGCAGAGATGCTGCCAAGGCAGTAATCAGACAAGTGCAGCTTGAGCCCATTCTAAAAAACTAATCTGAATAAATCTTTCAGACAATCCCTTCTCCCATTCACATGAAGAGAAAAGAGGGAGGAGTAGGAGGAGATTCTGTTACTATAGTCACATAATCAATGCAAGTAATTTTAGACCTATATGGCATTGATTTCTTGGTCTGATCTGTCTAATGGGGCTAATTCTAATGAAGGAGAAGGGAAGTGGGATGCAACACAGCTGAACAGCATCAGATTAGAAATGAATAATATATGTCCCACATCAGAAAGCAACATTTTGCAAGTGATTTCTATGTAGTGTCCAACATTCTCCTAATTAGGTCTTAGTGTTTATTCAAAGTGTCATGTTCCTTGTGAAATTAATAATGTTTTATTTTTTGTTATTACAGTTACTTGTCTGTGGAATTAATTGCTATGATCCCTTGTTCTCAGACTGATAAAGATGCAGCCAAGAACTGAATAGAAGTAATTTATAAATGTTTTGCAAAAGGTTTGTGTTACACAGAAATATGCATAATTGGATTCAAAGCTGGATAGACATAGGCCCTGAGATGTAAATGAAAAGAAACAGACTTTCGTTATTCCACACTTAGCTGCATGGATAAGAATAATGAATAATGAAATAATGAAAGGATACTAATGATAGAAGGACATGATCTACAGGCGGGTTGGCATGCATTTCTGTGGGGGAAACAGAAGAAAACATCAACATATTTCCAGCAACGTCAGATAAGAGGAGCATTGATCGGGATATGGGAAAAAATAAAAGACACTGGGAAAATTCCAAATTGGTTCTCGCCGATGGAGACAGTGATTCATCCCAATACATTAGAGAAAAAAAAAGATGATTAGCTATAACGAATTACTGGATAACCGAGGAAATCTCAAGTCAAGAGAAGAGTTGGAGGAACAAAGAATACCCATAGATTGGTGGCCGTATTTACAAATTCAATCTAGATATAATAGGGATAGGCAAGAACATGGAATTAGTCAGACCCCATATCAACTTGATAACATTCTAATAAGTAAGGAAGGAAAACTATTATCAAA